TAACATCCAATTGAAGGCGGCGGCCCAGCTTGCGATCCCCTGAGATTTGCGGTGCAGTCCCGCTGGGACTCATAGGCTTCCTTAGCGGGCGGAGCCAGCAGATGGGGTAGGGCCATCAGGGCCATCGCCTCGGTCATATTGGCGTTGTCAAAATTCTCCTTGCAGCGAGCCAGGAAACTGATGACCCTGATGGGATCTACCCCGCTGAATTTGTACTCCCCCATGACCACGAGGACGTACTGCACCCTCTTGCGGGTGGTAGCGTAGACCCGGTCGTCCAGGGTTGGGTCGGTATCCACGAGGCGGTAGGCTCTGTAGTTGCACACACCTCGGAACCGGTGGTTCGTCGGCTTCCAGGCAGACACCTTTTTCTGTTTGGGGCCGAACGTCGGCGTTGGGGCCGTAAGGGACTCTGACTCGGAATCGGACTCCGAGTCAGAGGAGGACGACGAGGACGGGCTCGAGTGCCCGTTCGGAGGGTAACCCTCCTTTCGTCCTTTGCGACGGTTCGCCTTCTGCTCTTTCCGACTGGGTTTGGACTTTTTTCGTCGTCCACTTCCATCGTCGTCTGAGCTTCCCCCTTGATCGGGGTTCCCTCCCCGTAAATTTTGGGAAGGTAAATCGCCTTCAAGGTGGACAGGTCCGGCGGAGGCTCTCTCGCGGGAGGCTCCAGCCGCGGTTCGCGACGCCTGCGGATTGGCGGAGAATTGGGGAGCGGTCTTCATGGAGGGGACCGGTATCCCGGCGGCTTGCAGCGCCGGCGTTGTCACGTTGGAAAAGAGCAGGCTCTTATTTAACGGGGGCAACCACTCAGCTGGAGGGAGAGTCGATACTCCGACTGTAGTCGGAGGGATTCCATCAGCGAGGGCTGATGATGGCGTCTTCAAGACGGCGATTTCTCGACGGAGGGCCTTGAGTTCCTCCGCCGTGGCGGTTTCCTCTTGCTTACGCAGGGTGGCAGCCTCCTTGGCGCTGGCAGCTATGTCCGCCTGCCAGGCCTTGGTGAGCACGCTTTCCAGGGCGGTTAGGCGATCGCGCTCCAGCGCGGCTTGTACCTCGGCTTGGGCCGCGATAGTTTCCTCAATAAAAGTCTTGAGATTTTCTCGCAGCGCCGACGGTTGCGCTGCGAGCTTCTCCGCTACAGTATTGAGCGTGAATCTTTCCGCTTCTCGGAGAGTCTCGCGACAACTCTGAGTGATCCACGCCGCAACTGGCGGAGGCACATCTCGAGGACCGGTCTCACGGGACGAATCGGACCCGGATACCATAGCTTTGAGCTTGTCGAAACTTGTGGAAACAGAGATAGAACACCTAGGACCAAAAACGGTAAGGGATAAGGGACACTCCGTAGACTTCTAGGTCGGGAGACCAAAATGTCGTGCACTGAGGGGGAAGTGTGGGATCTCCCTCTAGCAGAGCGCGCGCGTTCGGGGGCGCGTGTAGGGGGGTTATCGGGAGACCACCCGTAAGGGACCGGTACGGGGCCGGGCGCCAAGCGCAGTAGGGAAAGTAAGGGAAAATGTGGGAAAACAGAGCCCAGGAGGGGCGGAGCGTTAGGGACAGCTGTCGCGCGGAAAGCCGAGCGTGGCGGGACGACGCGCGCGGTAGAGGCAGGAGGGAATCGGGACGTAGATGGCTTGCAGGGTACCGTCATGGGACGGGGACCGACGCGAGGCTACGACTCCGTTCCAGAAACCCGAGTTGTAGACCCAAAGCTTCGTGAGGATTTACTTAGGGTGGGACGTCGGCTATATACTAGCCGACGTCGGAGCTATAATTAATTAAACTAAAAGATACTAAATTAAAACGACGGCGGCGACGACCGGAGAAACTCCTCTTGGGGAGGTATGACAACCATTACACGTGGGGGATGACACCTGGACACAGGAGCCTTGACGCCCGGTTACACGTGGCGCGCGGTACACGTGTGTCCTGGAGAAGGAGTCGTGCTGGCCGGGGACAGGTGTTCCCCCTGGGAAAAGGGAAAGGTGGGTCAGTGCACTACAGATAACAGGGCGTAAGAAGCTGCTGAGAAGGGAAAATTCACCAGCACGATTTCGTGTCGAGGGAAGAAGAGCGGCCAGAGGTCCCGGAATGGTGATCATTAGTGCGGCAGAGACACGGGCGAGGGCGGAATCTGCGACGGGAGGTTGTGCGCACGCGCGCGGCGGATTGCCGTCCGCCCGCCGAGGCCGGTGGCTTCGCCGGACGAGGGCAGAGGTGAAGGCAGGGTTTTGCCACGCAATCAGGCAGGGAAGCGGGCAGCTGGGCGAGGGACGAATTCATGAGGCAGGAGATCGGGCGGCAGATGCCGGTTCTACTGTATGTTCGCTTGACGCCATTGGTCCACGGCAGATGAGTGGACGCTCTGCAATTCGACTTACAGTAGGCGCGTTTGGAAACGATCATTGCGATCATTGCAGTATTGAGGAATTTTTTGGTACAGAGGACGCCCCATCTCGCTCTTTGATTGGCTGTTTGCCGAAGTCACGTGCGGTTGTGCGGAGCACATGCCCCAGTTTCTCGCTCGGTACGATACAGAGCCATACACTGGACGCACGACTGCTCTGGCAGGGGAAGGATGATGAGGCGATATGCTTTTGGGAACTCAGACCGCCGTGGTCAGCTAGTGTCTATCCGACCGGGGCTGTCCCCAGATGAGCACACTCTTTTTTGCAAAATATACAACTTAAAATAGACATTTAAAAAATATTGGGCACTATTTCCTCAACGTACTTGCTTTCGGTAATAACCTCCTGCAGAACGCCAGAATAGCAGCTATGAATACACAGGAATATTAAGAACTGAATGAAGATTTAGTTCCTCTTCGTCCTTTTATAAACTGGCGGTTCTTGTTTCCATGTTATTTTACATGCGGTTTCATCGTGGTTTAAAAAAGCTTCTTTTCCAGACATATCTAAACAAGACCAGGAAGAAAATGCTGTCCCCACAAAGTTCCTTCTGGCACCAAGGCAGAAGTCAAGTAAGGTGTCGGGGGTACATTTCTCCTTCTTGTCGAGGAAGGGCATGTCAAGAAAAAATATGTCGAAAAGTGTTGCCCCTATGAGAACAACGGTCCGACAAATCTTCGCCGCTAGAGAGCAATTAGCAAAATTGATGGGGTAGCTTCTGAGATCAAACTTTGTAGCCACTTTTGGCTTGACGTGTGGGTTGGAATGGCGACAAGGATGGCTGATAAGCATTTGCTTTAAGATAGAATTATTACGGCGTACAGAACGGTGTGATATCGGGATGTACACACAAGTTGATCATGGAGCTGACTAGAATTTGCAGTGCTACCAAAAAGGGAAGCACTCTAATAGCGCCTTGTAGCTGACATGAAATTGTGGTGCGACTGAGAATAGGACGCGCCGGCGAAGGCTCAGTGCGACTTCTTATAAGCTCACTGAAGCCGCCGAAAGGTCGGGAAAGAAAAGGTCACCGGCGGTAAACCAATCTTTGCTTTGTTTCAACTTTCGTTCTTGCTTTGACGCTGTAGCGTCTAAAAGCTACAACTTGAGCGCTCGAGGATAACGAAATCAAAGTCGATCAGCGAGACGTGGTTGGTATGCCTATATCTTGTAGCGCATGTAGGCACCAATGAGGAAATCCTTCAAGGCCCAGCACCACGCACGCAACTATGTTGCCCTACCACGTCAGTATTGGACCTTCGACGATATCATGCCTCTCCCCATCAGAAGAAAACGCCCCTGCAGGGTACCGCATGATCATGCTGAGGTTGTACTGTACGAATACCATGTTTACAAATCATGTACTGTAGGAATAGGGTACGTGCTGATTTCAGCAACAATTCGGTTTCCCTCCCTTTCAAAAGGGGGGAGGGAAACCGAATTATTTGGTGCGTTTTGCTTGAAACACAAGCAAATTAAAACTTGCTCCTTTCCATCTTTCTCGTGGAGGGCTATTGACCTTTTGTTTGAAAATGCGGGGCGCATATGTATTGAATACCGCTAGCCTCCTTCATTTGTATAAAAAGTAGTTCGAGAGCATGTTCTAAGTTCGTGGGCGGAACGTAGACTAATGTGTTTGTACACTAGAGCTTCATATGGTACGGAAAAGTGTGGCAGCATAGAAACCCTCGTGCTGTGTGTCAGAAATTCAAAGTCGCCGGAAATAAGACGATCTTGATGACCCGCAGTCTCGCCTTGCACAAGCACAGGTCAACCTCAGCATTAACAGATTTTAGATCTTGAAAACTTGTGTGTAATTTGAAGCGAATGCCCCGATGGAGGATTAGACGGCATTTCTTCAAAGGTCGATGGAACAACATGAACTGGAAGTATGTAGCGGAACATGTGTTTGTAAGGTACAGAGTGCAAAAACGCTCCCCATACTCTGGCCCATTCTAATGACTAAAGGAAAATGCTGTTGAAATGGTGGCGATACTCCGCCAACAAAGCCATGAAAATGAAGATTCACCACAGCTGTAGTTCTTCGTCATCCGAAAAGCTAAGGCAAACAGTACCAAGACGAAACACCTGGTATTAAGCAATATTTTCCGAATCGTAGAGTACACCACAGCCACAGATCATGAGAGGAGGGGCATCTGCAATGTGCGCTACTCGTCTTCTCAGACGTGCCAGCGTAACCTTTAGTGGTGCGCAGGGTTATTAAAATGAACAGAGTGACTTACTTGTATTGAATGGTTTTGAAAAGCGGTTCTTAAGTTGGACACACTTGGGGTTGCAGGTTGGGTGGCTCTCAGGGTTAGTGAGTGGTTGTGCCTGACCCCTTTTGCTTTCCCCGTCCGAACGCCGCGCCATTTATAGAAATCGTAGCTGAAACTTAGAACAATACAGTACCTGCTAGACTATAATAAACTATCCTTTCACTCTACAACTAATCTTCATACAATCGCTCATGTCCTTGCCTTCAATCTCCCCGACCATCCTCTTTAGTACTAGTGGATACTGTACTCCTCCTTTGACAATTCTTTTAGGTATGGCATAGAAATTATGTTGTAGTTCTATGCCATCCTTTTAAAGAATGGAGGAGCCAGTCCATTCGGGAAAAACACGCGCAGTATGTTTATAAAAAGTAAAACTACAAAGACATACATACTGTGCTTGTCCTTCAACCGTTACAACTCCTCCCCCTTTAAGATGGTTATTCGTCCTCAAATAAGCTTGGAGGTGGGTAGTAGGTGATGGAGTCGAAGTAACGTTGAATAGAAGGCTTGTGGCTTGGAAGGTCTTGTTCGTCAATCCATTTGTCTTGAAGTATGTTTCCTGAGTTTCTGATACTAAGAAATCGATAAAGTCTTGAGTGTTGCGGTGGGAAATGAGGTCAACTGTAGGCGGCATCTTGTCTTCGGTCTGAAATGCAGACTCGCGACCGATAGTTCTTCTATGTTGATCATTGTAGTATGGCTTGAGAAGAGATATGTGGAATGTAGGATGAAGGTTTTGATATTTCTCTGGTAGTTGCAACTTGTATGCGTTTCCGGACGCTAGGATGTCGATGACTTCGAATGGTCCAATGTACTTCGGTGATAACTTTTTGCTTCTTCCTGTCTTGAGTGGTAAGTTCTTCGTCGAGAGCATTACTTGGTCTCCTAGGTGAAATGAATGATCTCTTCTGTGTTTGTTGACTTTTTGGGCGTTTCGTTCGTTCGAAGCTGTGATGGACAGCTTTGCTATTTCATTAGCTCTTCTTATGTTCTCCAAAAACCTTTGTGTGGTCACAGTAGGTGTTTCTGATCCATCAGAGTGGAGGACGTCAGAAACAGAGAGTGGGTGCTGGCCATACTCTAGGAAAAAAGGAGTTTGTTTGGTTGTGTCACTTATGTGATTGTTGTACGCAAACTCGAGTCCTGGTAGGTGTTTACTCCAGTCTCTTTGCGTATAGCTAACAAAGCAACGTAGCATTTCTTGCAATGTTCTGAATGCCCTTTCTGATTGTCCATCAGTTTGAGGATGGAAGGCGGTTGATAAGTTTAACTTGACTCGTAGTAGCTTCATGATTTCCTTCCATAAAGTACTTGTGAATCTTGTGTCACGGTCTGATATTATCTTTCTTGGAAGACCGTGATGTTTGTATATCTCGTTGTAGAACACCTCTGCTGTATCTTTGGCAGTATGGTTTGATTCAATTGGAACAAAATGCGTGTGTTTCGAGAGTTTGTCCACAACAACAAGTATAGCACTTTTGTTCGTATTTGTCCTCGGGAGGTCGAATATGAAGTACATAGATATCTGTTCCCATTTCTTTAGTGGTAGCGGAAATGGTCTGAATTTTCCCACTTTGTTCTGGGTTAGGCTTTTGGCTTCTTGACACTTTGGGCATGTCTTGATGTATTCGTGTAGTTCTTTGTTCATGCTAGGCCAATATAAATGTCTCCTGACATATTGTAAGGTCTTTTTGAATCCTCGATGTGCACCAAAGAGAGATTCGTGATTGTCGTGCAACACGATTTCTCTGATCTTTCCTTTCGGAATACAGAGCCTATTCTCAAAGTAAAGGCGGTTTTTGTTCTTACTGAACGGAGCAGGTTGGGTTTCAAACGCATTCTTGAAATCGGGGTCCTTTCTGTACTCTCGTTCAAGGCTTTTGAGAATATTTTCATCCACCTTTACTAGTGTAAATGCTATCAACTGTTTCACAACACTGGCTGATGTCTGGTGCACTTCCTAGTACTGTCTCGATAATGCATCAGCTACTGTATTCTGCTTTCCCTTGATGTAATCAATCTGGTAGTCGAACTCTTGCATGAATTCAACCCATCTGGCTTGTTTTCGGGATAAGGTTCGTTGTGAATCCAAGTATTTCAATGGGTGATGGTCAGTCAGTATCTTAAACTTTGAGCCGTGTAGGTATGGTCTCTAAGTTTGTAAAGAGTACACAATAGCAAGAAGTTCCCTTTCATGTGTACTGTATCCTTGTTCTGCTTTATTCAGTTTCCGTGAAGCGTATGCTACTGG